ATACAAACACCCACCCAATATTTTATCAAACACACCAAAAATCAGATTATCTTGTTGCTTATTTATATTATAGGTAGTAGGACGTAGGTACATCATTACTACTAGTATATGCRTATATATGATCAATTGTAATACCCACCCGCCCAAAATTTGGAGGAGCAGCCGTTCCTTTAGACCCCCTTCACCACGCCACTGAAAATGCGTATGTCCAGTTATATAACACTTATCGTATACAATATGATGTTATATAATATAGCTCATTTGTTTAGCTGTTTTCGTACACGAACATTAATTTTTATGTCATGGGACATGGACATCCATAGGACATGTTAGAGGTGGGTACCTCCTATCATGATATCTAAATAACATCCATATTAGATCCCATTTGTTTTGTTGTGTGAGTGTGTCATTCATAATAAAATAATAATATTGTTCATGGCAAGTGCGTCATAGCTATAACAATAATAATATTATTATTATCGCATACACTCTACACAGTAGACTCACTAGACTACTCATTTGAACAGCGCCAGGAAAACTGTTCAAATAAAATATTAATATAATGAACATATTGCAGCTGCTGAGCACAAGCCCGCATTCATCTCGCTTGCGGACACTTAAAACGAACGCGTGTCTGCATTATTATTATTTATTATTTACTATTATAGTATTTGACCGGATAAAAAAAGAGCCTATTTAAAACGATTCGAAAACGGTTTCGTTTAGTAGGTACGACGACAATAATAGATACGCATAATATAGTATAATATTATTTTGTCATTGCGGTCATATAGGCTTGCTCAGGCTTAAATTTCAGATGCAACGTACAAAATAAAGCGGATAATTTTTTACAATTTAAAAATACAATAAACAATAAATAAATGATGAACAGTAGGTAGAACATATAATATATTTTATAATTTTGAGTATAGATACCTATTTGTTGTAAGTTATTTAATTTTAGTTATATTTTATCAATTATTATCTAATAAAAAAATGGTTCGGATCTAAAAAATTAATTGAACTGGACCACTAAATTTTTCCGGCCATGTGCCCAAAAWATGTTGCAGATCCATGTACCTTTTGCAGCACTTATGACCAGTTTGTTGTATCCAGAACATTTTTCAGGGATGGTCTCAGTTTTTTCATTAGTCGTTCATTTCAGTATTATGAATTATATTTTTAAGTTATATTAGTTTGTTATTACAAATTACAATTAAGAAATTTCAAAAATAATTGCAAAACTAATTTTATTTAACGCGATTAGATAAGCACTATTAATAGGTAATCGTAAATATACTATTATACGTTTAATAATTATATTTTTTTGACAGTTCAACAGTTGTATTCGTCAGTGGGCCTAATAAAATTTGAGGGGGTGGTATAATTTGCGGTCCTGAAGTATACGCGCCTGGTCACTTGGATTCAGCACTGCCCGTGCACATACACGCCTATGATTTTGATCTAAACTGACAAATCAAAACATACGTTTTGATGCATAATATTGAGTGTGTTTAAGTATTCGCCACTAGGACACTCAGTTTTGGATTATAGGACTGTGGTCTGTGATAGATGGGGAGATTACTGAATAAGTCGAAATTGACATCAGGTTAATGATTTTCTAACCAGTCGTAACTCGTACAACATATGATTTGAACACGACCATTACTCAAGCGTAGAGTGATTCGTTCATCAGGTAGGTAATGTACAATAATATAAATTATCATTAAAAAAAAAAAAATTCAAGGATGAGCGAATAGCTAGTGTAATCCAGAATACATAAATAACATATAGAAATCTACGATTGTAGAATATTTTTGATTAATAAAAAAATAAATAATATTGTAATAGTTGCTGAAATTCATACATTAACCAATAACCGGCAGTAGTTGTCAGTTGGATAAACCTAGGACTTACCGGTAAATCCTAGGTGTCGCCGGTATTCGTACTTTTACCTTAACAACTGTATGAGAGTCTACTGCATGTCCTCTTACCTTCTCTTGTTGCCATCAATAATGTAATAAGGAACCTTTTCGCCTCCCTCCCATAACTTAAATGTCTATATGCATGTGCTGTAGTCCTAAAAAAAAAGCAGAGGGTATACTATATGAGTTATAATATTAAACATTTATATTATCATTAGGTATCATTTTGGTAGAGGGTAAAAAACACAACACACATACATTAATTGTACAAATTAAAATAAAAACTAAACATTTTTTTCTAAATAAATTTATTGAAAAATATTTCATAAATGTCGTCTGGATTCCGATTTTGTTAAATTATTTCTTTTCAATATTAATAATAATCTAATGGCTTTTATCTTTATATTATTTGGTAATTTCACTACAACAGAGAGTATACGACCTTAATCAGAAGGATGTCGCGTCAAAATGTCACGGTAAAAATGTCGTGGTAAAAATATCGCAGCAAAAACGTTGCGTTAAAAATGTCGCAGGTAGTAATATATATCGCCGTAGTCGCCGATGTGTGGCTCACAGTTCCGGGTTTCATTCGGTCGTAGGTATGATTAGATTAGATTAAAGTGCCATAGGTACAGTTCAGTATACATATTAGTGTGTAATTTGCAACCATAACAGAAACTCTATAATATAATATAATATAATATATATATTCTATACATTATGGCATTTGAGTATATAATAAACCAAAAAAATGGAAAATTACTCAAGTTTAATTCTTTTTTGTACAAAAAAGAAAGAGAAAACGAAAATAAAATTATTTGGAAGTGCGTTGAGTATAATACAAAGAAATTTCGCGGTCGATTACATTCATCTGGGCAAAGTGTAGTTCTTATTACTGAACATAGCCATGTTGCCGATATTAAAAAAGTTGAAGCTAAAGAAGCAATGGCAAGACTTAAAAATATTGCAAAAACTACTCAACTTAGTACCTATTCTGTTTTAGGAACACTGACATCACAGGTATATATAGTTAATAATAATACATAAAATAACATAAAATAAAATTTTCAAATAATTATTTTTAGTTTATTATTTTAGACCACTTCAAACATAGCTGGACAATTTCCGAGTACAACAGGATTAAAACGAACAATTCAACGAGTTAGAAAAATAGAAAGATCAGCTCCTCGTGATCCAAAATCAGTAACCGAACTCAAAATACCTGCAGATAATTACACAAAAACTTCAACCGGTGARCTTTTTTTAAAATATGATAGCATTGATTACAAAATAACTTAGACCGGTTTTTAACTTTTACTACCGACAACAATTTACAATTGATGGAACAATGTGAAACATTGGTTATGTGATGGTACATTTTCTTGCGTACATTTTTCCACCAACTCTATACTATTCATGGAATAAATTATTCAAAAGTTGTACCAGCTGTTTATATACTTCTTCCTAATAAAAAAGAAGATACTTACAAACGTATGTTTTTAGCATTTAAAATGTTTAAAACCACAGCTTAATCCAAAATCAATGATGTTCGATTTTGAAAAAGCTGCTATATGAACGCTTCAAAATATGTTTTTTCGTCAATTAACATTAAAGGGTGTTTTTTTTCCATTTAACTCAATCTATTTGGCGGCATGTACAATCAAACAGGCTACAAGTTAGGTATACAAACGATTCAAATTTTGCACTCGAATTAAGAAAACTAGCAGCCTTAGCTTATGTACCTGAAAATAATATAATTTCAGCATTTGAATCTCTGTTGGATTCCAAATTTTATAGAGWAAATGAAGAGAGTCTATCAGGTWTAATCAAYTATTTTGAAGACACATGGATTGGGAGACCCTGCCGGAGAGCGAGAAGAGCCCCTTTTATTTTCTATAAATGTATGGAATTGTTATGCATTATTAAAGTATGATATTCCACGAACTAACAATTCGGTTGAGGGTTGGCATAATTGTTTTAGTTCAATGTTAAGTTCTCGYCATCCTTCTATTTGGATTTTTATCGATTCACCAAAAAAAGAAGAAAGCTTAAACCGTCTAAAARTTGAACAGTATATTGCTGGCATTAAACCTCCGAAAAAGAAAAAATACAAAGATTCTGCGATTCGACTTAAAGCCATATGTGATGATTATGAAAATCAATCAACTAATGACTACCTGCGCGGAATTTCGTATAACTTCCAATATCAATTAACATAAAAATACAGTTTATTATTTCATTTATTATAATATTTTTTATTATCGCATTATTTTTATTTATTAAGTATGACTGTATACTCTGTACATTATAAAATTGTTCGATGTATAGATATATTTATTTTTTGACACAATTTTATCGGCTGAAATACCAGATATCTTATCATTGTAACTAATTTTAAAATATTAATATAAAATATAAATGCKATAATGAACACTGCGAGTTGCGACTAGCAGTAAYTATACTATRGTTCGTTGTGCGTGTTTGTAATCTGTGTTCGTTTTATGTATAATATGTGTAGTACTACTCTGTAGTCTATAAAATCAATAATTTATTGGCTTTTTTAATAATTCAATAATATTTTGAGTTTTTTACTATATGTATATTTATTTACATATTTTGGCAACATAAATACATAATATAAATCCGGGCCTTAATTATAATATATTGGTATTATATTTTTCATATTTTTGACATCGCGATATTTTTGTATTCGCGATATTTTTTTATTAGCGACATTTTTGTGTTCATGACATTAACCGCGATATTTTTACAGCGACATTATGACGTGTATCCAATCAGAAGGTACCTATACAGAGTTTATTAGAAATAACCAGAAAGTATACCGCCGTATACCCTCCAATATACAGCACTGCTGCCTCTATGGTTGAGTAGTCACGCATATGTACTCACGTAGTCACGTCCATAAAACACTTTAATTATGTTTAAAATTGTCCACATATAATTAATGCATAATAATATGCAGTTACAAATTGCAACAAATAAAGATCCTCCATTAAAACGTATACYCGATGAATTTGTAATCACCTAACTTCTGTACACTAATTTGTGCCATATTCGTGATATAAATGGAATAAATCACTGCAGATTTATGATGAGTGTAGGTTTTTGTAAATATTTTAAAAAAATAAATAAAGTTGTGTTTAATTTAAAACGAAGATTGGCTGAATAAATTATTATATAGTGTGATTATTTAATTTTCTGTTTACTATATATTATTGATATTTTGATATCGTATCATTGCTTATTTATTGTTTGGATATAAGAACTAATTTAGTACTGGATGATCAATCTGGATGTGCTTAATACTTTTTTATCCTTTAATAGTTATAATTTATTTAAATTCTGATTTTTTAAAATCCAAGGGACCTACTTGTAGGCCATAACTTCAGATATTTATACTTTTTATATAATTATAATAAAGGAATGATCCGTGTGCCACTGGCGATACAAACTTCTGTCATCAATTATCAATGTAGCTTGCAATGTATGTATTAAATTTAAATTCAACGATGAATCATTGTCTGATCATAAGATACTAATTATTTTGTTTAAAATGCTTAAAATAATGTAACAAATGTATTGTATTAAATGTATAAYATTAACTGTAAATTGGACCCAAACCCGTGTTGTATTATAAATTATAAAATATAAAATATATTGTATGAGAAARGTATTATTATATTGCTATTTAAGTAGACAATTTATATTACCATTAGTAATATACAGTGAGTTAAATTCATGCCGAAAACATTACATTTGAAAATGTTATTGTGTTTAAAGTTTCATGTACCCTGYACGAATAATATATTTATACTACAACATGCAGAATAACTAAAAACTAATCCGAAAACTAACCCCAAAAGTTAATAATTAAAGAATTTTTGTTGTTGTTAAGGACAACGATAGACACAAAAAAAAGTACATCGTTGTAAAATCAATTACAYATTCATCGTTCGGTTCAGAATCTAAAATCATAATATTATATTATATTCAACGTTTTTCGGTAAAGTGATACAGAACCCGTAAAGTCTGAGTGCTAAATATAGTAGTTTCTTATTACTACGCCATACTAGATTATGTCACAGTAATAATGAAAGAAATAATTTAGAATTCAATGATAAATCATTGCGTATGACAAACGATTCTGAACGGAAACGGTGTGTCAGCTTCTATTTCTAATCATTTTTTATGGTATTTTTTTTTTTTTGTCTGAGTATTAGTAATTTATTTTTCTATTAGTAATACGTACCTAGTACCTACTTACTTATGTTGAACTACTTTTTGAAAGAAACATAGTAAATTTCATATCATATATTATTGTTATTAACTTATAATATGTCAATATAGACATTCGACATTAATACCATTGAATAGGTTGGTGATTGAAAATAATTTAAAAAAKCTGATTTATTTTGAAAGTTATTCCATGTGTGTTGTATGTAGCAAACGATATATAATAATATATAACGTATATTTTGTGAAATTGTCKACGGTTTTGCATTTTTATTTTGTATTACCAGTAAGAAAAAAAAAATATTTTTTCGACAATAACAGGTGTTACTGCGAAAATGTACCATACGGTAAAAACTAAAAGTCCACTAAATATTATTAGTTATTAGTTTATTACAATTAAAAATAATATGTTTGATCTAAGTATTTACTAAGTTATTCTTTCTCTTATATATAGATCATATATCAAGAAGTTTAAAATGTACCTAACACTACATATCAATTATCAATATTTTATATTAACTCAACTGAATAAATTAAAATCATAATTTGTAAATAAAGGCTATATAATAAAGCGTATTATATAATATTCATCTAGGTATATATTTTATCTTCGCCAAGGATATTTAGATGGTCAGTCTCAYCGGAAAAATTTATCTTTGGTAAAATTTATCTGGGACCTGTGTAAAAATAAAATATATGGTTCTAGTCGGTGATTCTGAAATATTCCTGTTTTTTTTTCCAATTATTTGAAAAGCACTCTTTGTCTTTGACTTTACTTTACACCCTCCAAGTATCAACTATCAACCACAGATCCTATTGGAAGTTTTAATGGTTAACTGCGTTAATTTTATTGTTATGTATTTTTACCATAGACATATTTATATGTCTATGRTTTTTACTGCTCCGAAAGGTGACGAGAGGCGTAAATAAMAAATGTATATACACACATAAAAACAGCACATTCATCATTCCGYGGCTTGAACATTAACATTGGCCGAGCTGTCAGCAGTGAATCATTCTGCGTATATTAATAAATTAGATATTCTATCACCAAATACAAATAATAGTTAAATACCTTTAAATTCGATTTTGTGAGGTTGGGGATGGATGTGCATTTTTTTTTCGTTTTATTTTTCAAAATATTTTTGCCTTAGCCCTTCATATAATTGATAATATTGGTGTTGGTTCAAATTGGTTTCTGATCATAGACACGTTGTGTACCTAGTTTTTTATATTTATTTATTATTTATGTAATGTATTTGAGTAAATAAGTACCTAAGTTAAAATATTAAATATACTATTAAAATATCATGCTATAACTGAAAATATGTTTAAATATTGTGTATACTATAAAATTCAGACTTATAGTTGTCAACATAGTAAGTAATTATTAAAGTACTTACAATTTTGTTTTTCAGACATCGTCTAAYGGTTCGTAATACAATTTTATCACCTAAGCCTAAGATCTTAATTTTTTAACTAGTTGGTTAGTTATTTTTTTAAACAACTTAAGAATGTTATTAATTATAGCTCATGGGTGGCCACTAACTTTAATTTTTGGAGCCGCAAATTTATGAAGCTATTTCAAAATGAGCCACATTGTTAAGATAGGTAAGTATATGTTTTTAAAATAAAAACACATTTTTAATKTTATAACAAATAAACTATAAAGGAATATTCATTTTTTACACTATAGGTACATAATATTATTGTTTAGGTATACATTAAGTAATTGGATTTTACTTTTGAGAAGGGCTTTTTATATTATTTGAATTAATTTTATTCTAAGCTTGGTGCAAGTGCCACACGAGATTCACTCGAGCCTCGTTGTCACCCCTGCGTTATAGTTCATGTAACTGCTGAAATAATGTAGCTTTTTGATTGATTTAAAAATAATTCATCGAATCAATATACATTTTTTTATTTTTTAGAATTTTAATGATTTTACAAATTAATATTACCTACTGAATTATATTTTACTATAACAATTATAGTCTTAATTTAGAATATAATTTAATTTTAAGTTTTAATTTGTATACGTGGTTTTAGTTAAAAAGAAATTAATACCTATACTATATTTTCATAATTTAAAATTGTTGTATATAGATAGGTGCAGAATACTTTTTCAAGTAAATCAGCACACTSATTTAAAATTTAAATATTTACTTAAACTTAGATAAGTTACATCTTAACTTTATAATTAGCAAGTTCARTAAATGTATAATTTATTAATAAATTATTAACTTGTAGCATAACGATTCTCTGTTCAATTAACATAACTTGGATCAATTTTCATTAACTTGCATCTTTGAGAGTAACATACCTGAACAGTACAAATTAACTAATAAAGTCTTGGCATAAAACTAAAATTTTCAAATTTAGTAATTTTATTATTTTGTGTGTATTATATTATTATCATTATCATTCTCTAATCGTACTGGATGAAAAAAAAATTCTAAAACGGCAAATGTCACAAGCTCCTTATAGCCTTTATATATTATAGTTATATAGTTACACAATTATTATTTGTTGTACCTATAAATATAGTTAGAGCATTTAATGATAACTAAATTATTTTAAGAGGCACAGTTATAGATAAAATTTACCCACKGCCACATATCATCATCASTTCTATAATTTAWTAATTACATTAGGTCATAAAAGGTACATAGTAATAAAAATGTATAACCAATATAATATTTACTTTACGAATTAATACATACCTACCTATGCATATTGTGTTTAAAAAGTTATAAATAGGTACGATCAAACAAACAATAAAAAGCACTATATGGTCCAAACGCATTTTAAAATTAACCAAATTCAAATAGTGTTGATAACTGACCACCTACGAGTTCGAGATTAATCATAAATTCATAAATTCAATAATTTTAATTGCCTAACAAAGTTTAATGTGTTCAAATTCAAAAATATATG